GTAATCACAGGAATCGTGTGTGTGTTGCCTACCTCCAAGTCACTGCCACGAGAATTTACCCCTCCGATATGAGACTGACTGGTGGATTTAAGAAAACTGATCGATTATTAACTGATCACTAGTGAATAATTGTATAATTATTAACCATACCTAGGAAATCCAGAGAATCTCGAGTGGTGCCCCGCGAAACGAGAGCTTTATGAATTAATATTCTCTGAATATTAAAATTCATAATTTTGGATTGATTCTCATAAGTTTATTAAAACATAAGTAGACGTGCTACAGTTGCCAGGACCGGCTTTTAATAGCAGGTTTTGTCCCGGAGGTCTGTCCTAGGCGGCTTTTTGTTTGATTAAATCTTTTGAACTGTACCTGCCTGTTCCCATGTCTGCATTTGAGTCCACCCAACCATCTTCACACCACTACACACAACAATTAACTCTTTATGGATTCTTCTTTTGAACAACAACAACATGGTAATATAACTACTCAAATGGAGTGAAGAGACCTGCTAAGTAACTTAACAAAGATTATTTAATTAAACAAGGTAATAGGTAAGTTATGAGGAGTCAATATTAATTTGTCCACACAAAGGAATTCGGGGCAGCATCCTTCTCTGGCGTCTGGAATTTCTCACACCTAAATGTGAAAGTAAGAGGGTATGTTAGGAGTCTAAATTGATGGCTCTTTGGTGGGGTAGGGAATAAAGACTGAAGAAGGGGGTCTTTGATGTCTGAGGTAATCTGAAAGGGGAACTTTGTTACCATGGTTACCCTGCCCTCTTGGTCTTGGGAATGTTTAGAGGTTGTTTAGTTTATGGCTGCTGAGGTCCTCACAGCCTGGTTCAGGTTGAGGTTAGTTTCTGGACAAGGTTAATATTGTCATTTTAATAGTCATACATAGAGTCTGTTATATCTGCTTCACTGGAGGTGTTAGGTTTTATGGCTGAAACTGCCCAAGCAGCACTTTGGAGTGGAGCAAACCTTTCACCCCCTCCTCTGGGGTACTTTGGCTGTCTGTTGAGGGTTGATATCTCACCAGAGACCGGGTTTACGTCAGGGTCAGATAACTAGTATTTTATAAGATCAGGTGATAATAAAAAAAAGGTATTAAGGGCCATGTACAGAACACATCTGATAGTTAGATAGTTTTTTCAATACAACCAGACAGTGTTTATCTGTTATCCTAAAGCAGGTAGTGGTGTGAAAGGAGGCCATTTTAACAGAAGCAGTTAGTCTGTGCTACATGTTGTTCTTTACATCTGCCCTCTCTGTCCTGCTCTGCCATCTTTGGTTATGAAGGTTTCTGGTGCTGATCTGTGTTCATATTTTATTTTAACTGGAAATCATTAAAATAGCTGTGATCCAGTAAGAGGCTGAGGTCAAAGGTCATGAGCAAAACCTTTCTCATTACAGTTTTTCACAATTGCTAAGATCAAATCAAACACTTGCCTCAAAACCATTTGATCTGTGCTCAAAATCAAACAATGCTTTCAAAACATAAACACAGCCAGTCAATAGGTTAAACACTACAGAGCATCTCGTCCAGGGCATGTAGTTACAGAAAATGTTTTTTTGCGTAGAGGAAACAAATTCTCCAATTTAAAAAGTATAGTAATCACAACTTAGTACAGTAAATATGTAGTATACTGTAAGTACTGCAAGTAATACAGTATTGAATATCTGTATATTTAAATACAGTAAGCCCAAAGAACAAAGAAAACTATAAATGACAAGCACATTACACTCAAAAATGTTGTGTAACTGCAAAATCAAAGTCAGTACAGTAAGAGACTTCATCCACATCACATGCAATCTTGTCCCTCGCCAAGCAAAGGAGGAAAACCCTCTGTAGTGCTGGAAGCAGACTGACTGTAACAACACTCCACACCTATCTCACCACAGGCCATTTATATTGGCCGTAAGAGATTTTCCATTGTAAATGATGTTTCGGTCATAGACCTTCCACCATCAGGCAGAGAAACATTATTCTGTTGGACTGAAGTAAGGTCTGTAGGTTGAAGGTAATCATTTATGAATCACTGGTTGCTGGTTTATGTTGAACCACTTGCTTTGTGGGACACCACAGTGAAAGCTGACATTGTCACATAGACAGGATGTACTGCCAGCTGATGGACCTGCAGCTCACGCTCAAACACAAAATTCCAACGACAACCCAGAAAAGTAAGAAGATGATCAGTTATAGCCCCAAGGTTGAATAAGGGTAGAGAAACTGTCCCTTACTTATAGCTTGGTCAAAGGGTGACATTGCCACTACACTGGCCAGGGACTTGACCACATATTGGTTTGATCACATCATTCGAAACAAGTGTGCAGAATTATGAGTTGTTGTGTGTAAATGATGACAGTTGTGTAGTTGTGTTTAACTTTTGGCGCATGTATTTAACATTTTGCAACACAAGTGCATCACAGTGCAAAATGTGTTTTAGTGAGTGAGAATGTGTTAAGAGTTTTGCAAAAGGAGTGGATGAGATTTGCAAACAGTGTCTAAACTACCTGAATTTGTTTAAGGTTTTGCACAATGAGCCTGCACAATGGAGCAGCTTTTCTCCCCAAAACAGAGTGCACAGTGCCTGCTCCAGCAGGTACTATCTTGAGGCCACGAGATAGTATTGTGAGGCCACGACGTAAAGTGGACCTTGGGGGACTCCGTAGTTCTCCTCCTCTGAAAATGTCAAATGTTGTTTAATGACTTGCTTGGATCCCGATCATTGCCCCTTTCGGCTATATTTTTTATTGAAGTTGTTTTGATACATGTTCATTGGTGATTAGAGCAACAGTGATGAAATGAAACAGAAATGTTCAATCTATTTGATGAAATTGTGTGTGTAAAGCATGTGTGTGTGTGTGTGCGCGCGTGTGTGCGCGCGCGCGCGTGTGTGTGTGTGTGTGTGTGTGTCCTCAGTGAAGTGTATCAGTCTCTGCAGTAGCTTCCAGCTGCAGCACTCAGTTCAGTTTCTGTTCAGTCTGACTGAGGGAGGTTTTTGTACGACGCTTTTTCACTGTGTGAACACAGCTTGACTGTTGATGTTATGGCGACTCTGACAGTAGTAAACTGCTGCATCTTCAGTCTGGATTCCACTGATGGTCAGAGTGAAGTCAGAGTTTGATCCACTGCCTGTAAAACGATCTGGAATCCCTGTTGCTCGAGTGCTAGCATAGTAAATGAGGAGTTTAGGAGTTTCTCCATCTCTCTGTTGGTACCAGGCTAAAAGGTGGTATGGGCTGCTATAGTAAACATCCTGACTGGTCCTACATCTGATGGAGACGGAGCCTCCCAGAGCAGAGCTCACTGCTCCAGGCTGAGTCACTGTGACCTGGCCTCTGGACTCTGAGGATACAGAGACAAAAACATAAAGCAGCGTCATGGTTTTGTGGGCTTCATTTCAGAGGGACGGATGTTCATAGAGGAGAGGAGTTTGATTCTCTGGACTTTACCTGTGAAGCAGCAGCAGAGGAGAGTCCAGATGAGGACGCAGATCAAAGTCATGTTTTTGATGAGGAGGATTTCTGTGGCTTCTGTTGTCATGAAGGACAGCTGTCAGTCATCCAGTGTTCAACTCTCAGGACTATAAACTCTCCCAGAGCACTGGAGCATGGTGCTGCTGATGCAAAGTGGCTCTCTATGGAAATGCTCTGACTGACTCCAGCAGGGACTTGGATTACTCTGATGATTTTTATCAATGGGTCAATCACTTTATCAGAGTATTGATAATATTTTTAAAAACCTCTTTTATATGAGTTTGGTTTTATGCTTCTAGACATATTTTGTTTAAAATATGTTCTGAGTTATTTCAGTATCAATTTAATTTGAACTAAATGAACTAGTACTGGGCAACGATAAAATTTTTCAATTACAATTAATCGCATGATTTTCTTGAAAATTGAAAATTTAATAATGAATTCTAAAGTAGTGTACTGCTTGATTTACATGTACTGCTACATACACAAAAATGCAATAACGTATGGTTTGCAAAGAGCTTTTTACCAGCAGTATTCCCTTTACACAGCAGCAATAAAATATTTCTTGTAAATCTCAACTTAAACATTAATGTAATCAAATCAAATATTAAACCACAGCTATTTACCACTGCCAGAGAATTACCTTTTATCTAGCTTGTTAAAACAAGTTACCATCAGAGTCCAGTTTTCTTGGGATTGGGAACATAGAAACAGTCTATGTTCAGTAGAAAGTGTCCCTGTTACAGCGAGGTGAAGTGGTCGAGCACAAGGTGTACTGGGGTTCCCGTGAAACTGTCGTGGTCGTGCTCGCTTCACGCACACGCCTGCCTGCTGCCAAAGTTGAATTGTCTTGAACTTTTTGTACGTGACGCGCAGCACAATCATTGGAAGAGAGACTGATCCTCGCTGTTTGTGAGTTTCCAGGATCTAAATAGTTATCAGGACATCAACAGGAGGGAATTCACATGGTAGAGCATCCCCGCAAAACTAAATGCAGGCCTATCAGGTAAAGTTAGTCTGTGTATAATTTTAATTTAAGTTAAAGGCTGCGCACAGAAGCCGTTGCCATGGTTACTATCCATAGAGCGCCTGCCGTTCACTCGCAGAGAGCTGTCTCCCTGTCTGTTCACCTGAGAACCTGCTGAAGCCTCTCCGCTGCTTGTTTGGGTTATTTTGCAGGCTGATCAACATCCCACCTCTCCTGTGACCCATGGTTTGATTGTAGGCCTATGTGTATTCAGAGCCAGTGAGCAACGGACTTTCAAAATAATAATTTTTAAAAACTGTCGCCGTTAATTAATGAATGCTTTAACGCGATAATAATACGTTAACGTGCCCAGCCGTAAAATTAACATGTTAAATTAAAACAGTCATATTTTCACATGTCAGCTGATAAAATGTTACAAACAGAAACTATTTTTGGTGATTTTGTTTGTGTCAAAGTCAGAGAGCCGTGTCTCTCTACAGTGAGAGGTTTTTGTACGGCGGCTCAATGAGTTTGTATCACTGTGGTGGACTTTTGGTGGAGGAACCAGACTGGATGTTGGAAGTAAGTCAAATCCTAAAAACTGTACAGTTAGAAGAGCTACTTTTCTTTTTATATTTCTTTATATTCCACAGTAATAAGAAAAATGTATTTGCTCTCCAATTTTTACATGAATATTCTGAACTCAAACAAAGTTCACTTCAATAATACAAATTCGAAATTGTAATGAAAGTAACCTTTTAAGACAGAGGAGAAATCCTTCTTTACAACTTTACAGTTAAAATTGCAACTTGAAGGCTTCTAGCTTTAGTTCATTCTGTCAAAATCAGAGAGCCGTGTCTCTCTAAGGTGAGAGGTTTTTGTACGGCCACTGTGGTGGACTTTTGGTGGAGGAACCAGACTGGATGTTGGAAGTAAGTTTCTGCATAAATAATAAAGTAAAGTTATGTTTTAATTTCAACTTTTGGATGTTTGAGGCAGATTTGTTTTAATTGTTTTAACACTTATTCATGTTTTATTTCTCCTCTTTACCATGGAGGCTAAAGGTTTTAGTAAACATCTCTTCACACATTCCTGTCACACTGAAATTGATATATTGTGACATATATTGCTTAAAATTTTGAATAATATTTGACCAATTTGGTAATGATGACTGAAATCCATTTGACAAACATTTGATAATTTCCATTAAATAATTTAAAGTCATGTATAGTTAAAGATTTGTTTGATTTTGAAAAGGTTTATTCTCTTTTATTTCCAGTGCAGATTAATATATTTCAGGTTGTTCTGTATGATGATTCTCTCTGTGCTGATTTGCATGAGAGGCTTCTTAAAGGGAAGTGAAACAATGTGTGAGTGACTGGTGGAGCAGAAAAACCATCTGACAGAAACTCCTTAAAGGAGAAAATCAGCTCTCACACAGCAAAGGTGTCCTCTAAGCTGATTGGTGTCTCCTAGGTGATGTCCGTCCCACCCTGACGGTGCTGCCCCCCTCCAGTGAGGAGCTGCAGCAGGGGAAGGCCACGCTCATGTGCCTGGCCAACAAGGGCTTCCCCTCAGACTGGAGTCTGGCCTGGAAGGTGGACGGCAGCAGCAGCAGCAGCAGCAGCAGCTGGGAGGAGAGCAGTAGCCCCGGGGTGCTGGAGAAGGACGGCCGCTACAGCTGGAGCAGCACCCTGAGGCTCCCTGCAGACCAGTGGAGGAAGGTGGGCTCTGTGACCTGTGAGGCCACCCAGGGCTCCCAGGCTCTGGTCTCAGAGACACTGAGGAGAGACCAGTGTTCCCAGTCCTGACCTGACTCACTGGGACTCTGCTACTGGTTTTACTCTGCTCTCTGCTCTCTGAACTCTGTAACTCTCTCTGTGTCTGTGTCTCTTTCTTCCCTTCAGTCACTCTCTAATCACATGTTTCATGGATAAAGTTTGTTTACTTGATTTAATTTTGATTATTTCTACACAATAAATACCAGTTCATCAAATTAGTTGTTTTCATTCATGTTATTGTGAAGGTAACAGATCAGGAGCGTAGTTGGCTTAGTTGAATTTCAAATTACATTTATATAATCTTTACATGGAAATAAATATTCTATTTAAAAAACTAAACAAATATATATTATTATTATTATTATTATTATTATATGTTGTTACCTCTAACTTATCCACTTTTCAACTCATCAACAGTAGACATATATATTTCATATACATACATATGGTGTTTCACCCTCAGTGCCGAGAACGCTGCCCTGCATATTTACATATTTACATGGAGAAAACATTGAGAAGTCTGGTAGTAAACTGATCCAGTGATTTGTGACAGTTTGTTTTGTCAAGTTTGATCTTTTTTTACACCCGATTCACTGGTTTTACTCTGCTACTGGTTTTACTCTGCTACTGCTCTCAGTCTGTCTGGTTCTCAGTTTCTCTCATGAGATGTTTCAATATGGACCTCAGGTGGTTAATGTGCTTGTGTTGATCGTTGATTGATTTTTATCATGTAGACTGGATTATAACAGAAACTTCCTTTCTCTGACATATAAGTTAGCAACATTGGTGAGTTTCACAGTAACAAGTTTATTTTTACCATATTACGTTTTGATGGTTTTTGTTCTTTGCTATTACTAATGTCATCCTTGGATAACATACACATACCTGGAAATGATTAAAAGTATATTTTTTAAAAAGGAAGGTATTATCTGCATAAAGTCATTCATGAGTCTGATTTGATATATTGCACCAAATAATATTTAAATGAGACAGTATCACTTCGCCAAATGAGAACGACTGTTTCTGTCTCTTGGTGTCAGCACAATTAATACATTGTGATTTTTCACTGCTTGTAGTTTACACCCATCCCATTTACCAAATCAGCTGTATCCCTGCAAATTATAAACATATAACTGTTGTTGTTGTTGTTGTCTTAAATTAAAACATTTAATCCGAAGAGACTGGATTATTCTTAGAGTCAGATCACCAGGATTTTATACTTTTATGGGAACATTTTAAACAGAAATAATGCTCAGTGCCCTACTCTGTACTGAAACGTTCTCTGTTATATAGTAGTTTATCATGTGTGAGCGGGGTTGGGAGGATTACTTTAAAAATGTAATCCGGTACAATTACTAATTACTTGTTTAAAAATGTAATCAGTAACGTAATCCAAGTACCAAAAAATAAAAGTAATGTAATCTGATTACTTTTAGTTACTTTTGCATTATTTCAATGCCAAATAGGCAAATGAAAACAAGAGATGTATCAATGATGTGTTTTCTGCTCAGTGTATTTTTAAAGAAACATAGAATAACAAAATTTCCTGTTCCCAAAATCCATATTTAAATGTTTTTATATGATATGCTTTGCACTATGTGACCACTATGGCAGTATCTCGCCCATCAATGACAAAAACATTGTTTTGTATTGTTTGTCATTCGGGAAAACATTTTACAATTTTGATTACTCACTCTGCACTTGTATTAATTTAGCATGAAAACAATATAAAGCTGCTGAAGCATAGTGTTTATGGGGCCGGGCCCCACTCATTACTGTACAAAAACACAGCTTTCTTATCTTATTTGAAAGAGAAATATTAGAAATATGGAGAAAATATTTTTCTAGTTTTCTCTGTGATGTCCCCCGGCTGCTCTGCCTCAACTCTGTGTCTGAGTTTCCTGATGGACAGATAGCTTTACTTGTTGTTGAAGTTTAACAAGCTAACTAGCTGCTGTTATTAGCTCAGTTAGCTGTGCAACTACTAGTAAAATAAGTTTACTCTGCCCATACTGGGAGATCGGATCACCGGGGTAGTGTTAGTGTTTACCATAGACTGTAATGTTATAAAGGTGTTTAAGTTACATGGGTTGCGGTGCCTGATTGGGAACCGTAACCGGGCGAGCGGGCAACAAAACCTCGCTCAGCAGCCTCCCAGTGAACACAGCATGAACAGGACTGAACACAGCCTCAACGACCAACAGGATATCCAGTAACTTACTGAGATGATTTACACACACATTTACTTTTTGTTAAACTGTTAACTGTAGCCTATCTGCCTGTATCTGGTTGGTTACTTTGGTCGGTTAGCCGTGCTGCTAGCGGCCATATAAGCTTACTCAGCCCCGGGTTGCCAAGAGCCAAACCCAGCAAGAAAACTACACTCGTACTGTATCCCCAGTGGTCAAATTGGCCTCTGTCGGTCTTGGAGGCTGTGCTCGGTTCTGGTCCAGCTGCGTGTTCACTCACTGGGAGCTGGAACCAGAATCTGCATGATGGGTCGGAGGCGTAAACACACATTCACCGCAAATGGCAACTGTAAACGCCAATCAATGTCTGCGACATGTCCCACCCTTGCTTTGGCTTTTTACCAGACTGTATATAAAAAATATATATAGTGGCAAATAGCACAGCGTTTTGTTTCGTGGAAACTTTCTGCTTAAAGGAATCCCTATGAGTAATCCCTGTTGTGGGATTGTGTGGTGTGGGGACAGAGAGGACCCAAATGCAATGTTCGGAGGGAAGGAGGTTTATTGAGGGAGAAAGGGGTAGAGGGACTGGAGTGGAGGAAGAGGTGGATGTCGGGAAAGCACAGGCACGGGGAACCAAGGAGACAGGGGGCCACGGAGCTGGGGAACACTGGGGCCGAGGAAGCGAGGAGAGGCGGGGGAACAGGGAGGACGCCGTGAGGGAAGTCCGAGGAGGAGAGGGCCGGTGGATGAGCCCAGCCGACTGAACGGAGGACGAGGGTGAGTGTACCTGGGAGGGAAACAGACAGAGAGACAGGGTTAGGGATGACAGCGACAAGGCACAGGGAAAAAACAAGAAACATGAAAGCCTGAACGTGGGGGTGGCACCGGGTATGGAGCAACAACGATCAAGCGAGGATGGTGTGGAGAACCGGGGATGAAATACAGGCAGGCGTGAGGTGATTACTGGCAGGTGTGGCAGGCTGACGAGGTGGCTGATGGGATGCAGGTGCAGGTAGTTGGCTGGGAGCAGAGGGAGAGAGAGCACACAGGGGAGAAAACACAGGGAGGCAGGCAGGGAACAGAAAACCAAGGAAAAGGCAGAAAAACTGATAAAAAGGAGAAAAAAACAGGACACTCACCGTCAGCCGGGCTGCCACCACAACAAATCCCCATCATTTTTGTATCCTGATTACGTAACGCCGTTACATGTAATCCATTACTCCCCAACCCTGTGTATGAGTTTGACAGTCTTAAGGGTTTTTTTCAAAGCATATTCAAATTATTAAGCATTTTTACCAAAATTAAGTTATTGATTATGTGGTAATGTCTATTAGTCTATGTGTTAATAGCTGAAATAAAACAGTGTTAGTTCTGACTTATATTGTGCACAAACTGCATAAAATAACAAGTGTAAAGACAATAATACCCAAAAGACAATACTACAAAAACAGCCGACCTGATTTCCTCGGGCAGGCTGTTCCAGAGCCTCGGGGCCCTGACAGCAAACGCTCTGTCCCCTTTAGTTTGCAGTCGAGACTCTGGAACAGACAACAGACCTCTGCCCGAGGATCTCAAGGTACGTGCTGGTGCGTATGGGACTAAAAGTTCAGAAATATAACAAGGCGAGAGGCCATGGCGAGAGGCCATGAAGAGCTTTAAAAGTGATCAATACAATTTTAAAGTCAATTCTAAAACCTACTGGGAGCCAGTGCAATGAAGCTAAAACAGGGGTATTTAAATATATGTATTTTTCATGCTGAAAGTGTTGCTGTCGTCTAACATGTTATAGTTTCTCTGCAGCTGTTGATTCAGATCAGTTCCTCTCCAGCTGAGGGAGGTTTTAGTACGACGTTGTATCACTGTGTGAACGGGAAGCCATTACAGTGCTGACAATAATAATCTCCTGCATCTTCAGTCTGAACTCCTCTGATGGTCAGAGTGAAGTCAGTCCCAGATCCACTTCCAGTAAAACGATCTGAAACTCCAGACTGACGACTTGTAGAATAATAAATCAGGAGTTTGGGAAATTCTCTTGGTTTCTGAAGGTACCAGTCCACCTCATTGCTAACACTTGAACTGGCTTTACATCTGAGTCTGTCCTGGAACAACAGACTGAGCTCCAGGAGACTGAGTCAGGATGATTTCTCCTGATGAATCTGGAAAACATGAAAAAGAGGAGAAGGGTTATTGAGACAAATCCAGTTTGGAGAAAGATGATCAACATCCAAACAGAAGAGTCTCATTTCTTTAACATGGAGAACAGATGGAAGAAGGTAAATGCTGCTTGTTTCAGTGTTTCTCCATCACAGCAGAACATCATTGTGGTGAACCTGGTTGCATCCTGAAGCAAAGTTTTCAGAAGAGAGTCTCACCCTGAACAAGGAGCCCCAGGGTGGCCAGCAGTAGAATCAGTGAATTATGAAGATGGCGCCAGTGTGTGTGGCCAGCCGTCCGTCGCTGTCAAATTTGTTTGTATTTTCACTGTTTGTGTCACTGTTTATACAAAATATTGACTCTCTGCTGGTCTACGATCGCCAAACGCTGCTTGATCTCCGATTCTCTGTGGGAACAGTGATCAAATATGATCAGGGTGGACAGAAAACTTTTCTCCCTCCTTTGCAGTCAGAGATACCTGCTCACCTCCTGTACAATCTGCCGTCACTTCCCCTGAGAAGTCGCTCCAAGTGGCGGGGGAAACGCAGCGGACAGCTGGTGACGCTTAAAGCATATCTGGCATTCTATCCTGGATCTGATCGGACTCCCCAAGGCTTCTTGGCAGATATCAATTTACTTTCGCAATGTTTCCTGGCGAGTCTTGGAGCCTGCTGACACCTGACTGGTACCTGTTGTCAGCACGGATGTGGAGGCCCAGCTTCCTCAACAATGTTCACCTCGACCTCGCAGAGGTGGTGTCAACCACGGATATCTTCGGCTGCTGAGTCGAGTACCTCAAACGGCCAGTCCGGCAACACAGTCCGGCAACACAGGCTCCTATCAGAGCTGCCTTGGTCAATATTAGATCGCTAGCGAATAAGACCTTCATCCTGAATGACTTCTTTACCTCTCATGATTTGGATTTCTTATTCGTGACTGAAACCTGGCTAAATGTTGGTGAGTCAAACTTTTACCGGCTGATTGCTCTTATTTTAACTTTTCGAGGACTACTGGTCGAGGAGGTGGACTTGCTTCTGTCTGACTGACACCCATGTGAAAGAATTGCTTCGAGTGGCAACAACGGAATACAAGCCAGATTTAAAGAGGATTGTTCAAGGCAAGGAATGCTATAAGTCCCACTAAGCAACATGCATAGTAAAAGAAAAACGCTATTGTAAATTATTATATTTTTGTTTGTGGACTTGGTTGAACTGAGAGTTTGTGTGTGTGACACAGTGCACACACACGTCCATTGTTTAAAATGACTGGCCTGTGGTCTGTAGGAGTCAATTTCTGTCATTATCATGTTGGTGTGTGACATTTACAATAAATCTGGCTGAGCAGAGGTCTGTGTGTGTGTGTGAGAGAGAGGAAGGGTTGGGGGGGCTCTTAGTCTCTGACTGGTTGGCCACCCTTGTATTAAAGCCTGGCCTCCCTCTCTCGACTACAACTGGTTCAAAATGCTGCCACTCGTCTCCATACAGGAACACGTAAGCGAGATCACATCACCCCTGTTCTTGCCTCTCTTCACTGGCTCCCAGTTAATTTAAGGATTGATTTTAAGATTCTATTGTTTGTTTTTAAAGCCCTTCAGGGACTAGCTCCAGTCTATATCACTGATCTGTTGAAGCCACATGCTCCTTCAAGGTCATAAAGGTCTGCAAACCAGTCTCTTCTTGCTGTCCCTAAAACACGGCTCAAGAGCAGGGGGATCGAGCTTTCAGCCCCAAGACTGTGGAATGAATTGCCTCTACATAAAGGACTGGCCCCAAGCCTTACAGTTTTAAAATCGCTACTTAAAACACATTTTTATTCCTTGGCTTTTAA